TCCCTCTACCCCCCGTCCTCCGCCTCCCCCCCCCCCCCCCTTTCCTCCGCCTCCTTCCCCACTCCCCCTTTGCCCCCGCCCCCTTCCCCCTCTCCCCCCTCCCCCCTCCTTCCCCCCCCCCCCTCCCTCCGCCCCCCTTTCCCCCCTCTCCCTGCCTCCCCCCCTTTCCCCCCTTCCCTGTCTCCCCCCCCCCTTCCCACCTCTCCCACCTCCGCCCCCTTTCCCCAAACCTCCCCCACCTTTCCACCTCCGCCCACCTCTCCCGGGCCTCCGACTCCTTCCCCCCTCTCCCTGCCCCCCGCCTCCCCCCCCCCTCCCCCCAGCCTGCCCCAGCTGCCCCCCCTCTCCCACCCTCCGCCTCCCCCCCCCCTCCCCTCCGCCCCCCCTCTCCCGCCTCCGCCCCCTTCCCCCCCTCTCCCTCCCCTTCCGCCCCTTTCCCCCTTTCCCCCCCTCCCTCCGCCTCCTTCCCCCCTCTCCTGCCCCCGGCCCCCCTTTCCCCCCCTCTCCCTGCCCCCCGCCCCCTTTCCCCCCCCTCCCCCCGCCTCCCCCTTTCCCCCCCTTCCCCCCCCTTTTTCCCCCCTTCCCCCCTCCCCCCTCCTTCCCCCCTTCCCTGCCCCCGCCCCCTTTTCCCCCCTCTCCCTGCCTCCGCCCCCTTCCCCCCCCCCCGCCTTGGGCCCCCTTCCCCCCCCCCCCCTTTCCCCTCCCCGCCTCCTTCCCCCCCTTTTCCCTGCCTCCCCCTTTCCCCCCCCCTCTTTGCCTCCGCCCCCCTTTTCCCCCCCTTCCCTGCCTCCGCCCCTTCCCCCCCCCCCTTTCCCCTCCGCCCCCTTTCCCCCCCTTTTCCCTGCCCCGCCCCCTTTCCCCCCCTCCCCCCTCCCCCCCGCCCCCTTCCCCCCCCCCTCCCGGGGCCTCCGCCTCCTTCCCCTTTCCCCCCCCTCCCCCCCTTTGCCTCTGCCCCCCTTTCCCCCCCTCTCCCTGCCCCCCGCCCCCTTCCCCCCCTCCCGCCTCCCCCTCCTTCCCCCCCTCTCCCACCTCCCCTCCTGCCCCCCCCCTCCCGGGCCTCCCCCTTTCCCCCCCCCTCTCCCTGCCTCCGCCCCTGCCCACCTCTCCCGCCTCCTTCCCCCCCCTCCCCCCAGCCCCGCCCCCTTTCCCCACTTCCCCCACCCAAGCCCCCCTGCCCCACCCCCCCCCTGCATCCCCCTCCTCCCCCCCCTCCCCCCGGGCCCCCGCCCCTTCCCCCTCCCTCCCCTCCGCCCCCTTTCCCCCCCATCTCCCTCCCTCTGCCTCCTTCCCCCCCCCTCCCTCCCTTTCCGCCCCCTTTCCCCCCACCTCCCCCACCCCCGCCTCCTTCCCCCTCTCCCTGCCTCCGCCCCCTTTCCCCCCCCCCTCTCCTGCCTCCCCCTCCCCCCCGGGAAACCCCCCTCCCCTTTTGCCGGGGGGCCTATTTCCCCCCCTCCCCCTCCCTCCGCCTTTGCCCCCTCTCCCACCTCCACCCTCCTGCCCCCTCCCCCCTGCCTCCGCCTGCTCCCCCCCCTCCCCCTGCCTCCGCCCCCTCCCCCCTTTTCCCCCTCCCCTTTCCCTTCCCACCACCCCCCAAGCCCCCACCCCCCTTTTCCCCCCACTCCCAGCCTCTCCCTCCTTCCCACCTCCCCCAACCCCCGCCTCCTCCCCACTTCCCCCCAGCCTCCGTTTTCCTTTGCCCCCCTCTCCCGCCTCCCCCTTCCTTTCCCCACCTCCCCCCAGCATCCGCCCCCTGCCCCCTCCCTTTCCTCCCCCTTCTTCCCACCTTCCTCCCACCCCTCCCCCCTCCCCCCCCCTCCTTCCCCTTCCACCCCCTTCCCCTCTCCCGCCTCCCCCTCCTGTTCCATTTCCCCTGCCTCCGCCTCCTTCCCCCCTCCCCCCCGTCCCTTTCCGCCCCCCTTCCCCCCTCCCCGTTGCCTCCGCCTCCTTCCCCTCTCCCCCCTTCCCTTCCGCCTCCTTCCCCTCCCCCCTTTGCCCCCGCCCCCTTTTCCCCCCTCTCCCCGTCCCTTTCTGCCTCCTTCCCCCCCCCCCCGGGGCCCCCGCCTTTCTCCCTCCCCCCCCGTGCCTCCGCCTCCTTTCCCCCCCCCCCGTGCCTCCCCCTCCTTCCACCTCCCCCCTTTCCCTCCGCCCTTTCCTTTCCCCCCCTCCCCGGGGCCTCCGCCTCCTTCCCCCCCCTTCCCCTTGCCCCCGCCCCCTTTTCCCCCTTCTCTCCTTTGCCTCCGCCCCCTTTCCCCCTCTCCCCCCGTGCCCCCGCCCCCCTTCCCCCCCCCCCCCCCGTGGCCTCCGCCTCCTTTCCCCCCCTCTCTCCGTGCCTCCCCCCCTCCTTCCCCCTCTCCCCGGCCCCCCTCCCCTTCCCCCTCTTCTAGCAAGAATCTTTCCCCCTTTCGAAAGAAATTTGGGACTTCATTTTCTTTTTCTGCAACATTGAAAGCCCCCTTGATGTGTTGTTTTGCAACATGAAATGAAAGCTTTTCATTAACCCCCTAGGGTTGTTTTGCATTTTTCATTTTTAAATTAAAAATTTTCCCAAGCAATTGTTGCACTTTTTGCCCCTTTTAAAATTTTTTCCTTTCTTCTAAAAAACGCTACAAGAAAAAAAAAAAAGTAAAATCCCTTCGGCACCATTTTCCTTTTAAATTTTCCCTCTTTCTCTTTTTGGGTTGTGGCAAAAACTAAAAAACTACTTGCATGGACCAGGGTCTGCTCTGGTGTCTTATTTTTTTTTTTGCAATATTTTTACTATTGTTTTTACTAATCTTTATTTACCTGTGAAAATTTTTTCTTTTCCCAAATCACATTTAAAAGCTGAGGTACCTGCATAAAAACCCCTGGCTTCACAAGTTTTTCTCCCCCTCGGGAGACCAGCCTTTGGGGTCAGGCTTTTTTTGTTTTTTTTAACAAGGCTTTTTCCTGTTAGCAGTCCACTGGTTAACACATTATTTCGAACTGGTTGGTCTGGCCTTGATGAGATAGTGATCCAGGTTCCTCCTTAATTTTTTATTTAGTAAAGTAACGGGGTTGACTACCATAAAATTTTTTAAAACAATATTGTACTGTATTTCTTTAATAAAAAAAAAAATTTTTTGGGTTTTTTTTTTTAAGCATGGGGCGCCGCCTCCCTTCCCCCCTTCCCACTGTCTTGATTCTCTTCAGTAATTTCCATTAATTTCAACTTGTTTTTTTTTTTTTTGAGTTTATTTTTTAGTTAAACTCTTTTTTTTTTAAAGTAAAATTTTCTATATTTTTTAAAGTTTCCAAAATACTTTTTATTTCCCTTTGGGCATTTATTTTAGTTGGGGGTTACTAATCGCTTTTTCTGAGAAACTGTCTGGCATGTTTGGGATGTATATTTTCCCCAGCAAAAAAATAAATCTACTAAGGGAAAAGCTTCGCACCCAACCCGGGCCCAAGATCACGTGTAACCCTTCCTTTCGCCTCACCCAATGAACACAGTAGCATGAAAAGGGGAAGCCCGTCCCGCGCCGTGCCCCGTTTCACAAAGGCAGGTATAAAACCCCTAGTCCCACCCATACACAGGGGTAGCCTTTTGTATCAAGGTCTGGTGTATTCCCATATATCAACCCCCACAAGATAAAGCCAAACAGAACCACCTCCCCAAATCAGTTATATAATACAAGGTTTCCCCCAAAAAATTGGAATAAAGGGCCCATGAAAGTGATAAAACCTTTGAAAAAAAGGAAAAACCCTACCTTGCGTTTTCTCTTCGTTTTTCTCGAATAAACTTTTATTTCGTTCCTATCATCTTGGGTTTCCCTTTTCCTACTCCCCCCATTCTTGCTCATCGGTCCCCCTCTCCTTCCTCCCCTTCCCCAAAATTTTGCTGCTGCAAAACCCCATAACGCAGTTGGGTGTAGCCAAAAGAGGCCCGAATCATTTTTCATGGTGATTGCCAGCTTGTACATTATTCTAAAGATCCCCCCCTTTCTTTCAAGAAAGGGAAACCTCCTGCTAAATGTTCCAGTGGGGAACACCGCATTACAACCCGCAGTTTAGCAGGGGCCCTTTTTGAAATTATTTGTAGGCACCGTAAATTTTTTAAAGGGTTTTTCTTCTAGCCTTTTCTAGTCTCTTCGTCGGGCCCTTCCAAACCGCAGCCCAAAGGGTCAAACACATTATATTCTACTTAAATGACTTCCAAGTCCCGGGGGGGTGACCCCGGGCTCTCAAACAGAAAAGACCTGAAATTTAACGGGTTCATCAGTCAGGCTTGGTGTTACGGGTGACTTCGGGCCAGAGGGAAAGTTTCAATTTTCCCCCTTAAGACAGTTTTGAAGTCGTTTGTATTTTTTCTTACTTTTTCAGTTTGAAAGGTGAATAAAAAAACCTTTCCCCCCCTCCCGGCCAAAAGCTTTTATTTTGGGGTAAATGTTTTTAAAAGCCCCCGGAAAAACCCCACCCCCACCCAATAGTTTCGCCTTTAGTACAATAAGTACTCCAGCAATTTTCGCTTTGAACAATACGAAAATTTTTTGTAAATTTTCCCCTTTGTTTAAAATGGGATTGTGGAAAGTCGCAGATCCAAGTTTTCTTTGGGAAACTTTAAAAACAAAAATTAAATTTAAACTAACACGCTTTTCCTGGGAAACACTGACTCCGCAAACTTTGCTTGACTACCCTCTAGATAACTACATTTAATACGCTCTTCCTAAAACCAACACAACAAAATTTGCTTACATACCTCCAAGTCAACGGCTAAACTTAACCTTCTCCTCAATAATTGACACTAAAAAAATCAACCTAAGTGAAATAGATTTTTTTCCTTAACGTTCAGAAAGAGAAACTTTCCATTGTGGCTTAACTTTCCTTACACAACTCAATCAGCGGGAAAAAAAACTTATTTAAATTTGCTTCCTTGATAACACTGAAGGTTTAGGAAAGACCGCTCTCGCACCTACACAAAATAAAAGGTGCACAGAAGTATTCAGTTCCTCTCCCCGTTGTTAGAAACAGTGGGGTCTTACCTAACGTAGGTCTTCACGCACGATACCTCTTGCAACAGCCCATCCTCCAACACTGACCCTGGGGATAGTAACAGTCTCAGGTACATTATACACACACAACCCGCACATAGATGAGGGGAGCATAAGTTGTAGTAGTAGTACTACTATTACAACAACTTATGCCACTACTACTCTGAGCCTATATATACCCTCTGTGTCCATGTACTGTTTGTAACGGCTTGACAAAGCTCCTGGAGAGCGAAACGTTGCCACAATAATATGTCACATTAGTTGCACTTGTGTCCTTTTACTTTACAAAGTCACACTAACAGAAAGGAGAGATGGAGGCAGTATACATATATAGGCCGTCTTTGACTGACTCTACGACTACTACTTCCTCTACCACTACCTCGCTGCTTCCTTTCCCACTACCTCTCTTGTCCTGTCTCTGCTGGCCTGTATATGCTGCCTCCTCTCATTTCTGTCAGTGTGACTTGGTGAATAGTCCAAGCCGTACCGAAACGTTGTCGTAAGCTCCTCTCTCCCATGTGCGGGCTATTTATATAAAGTACACACTGTTCACTACCCGGGCAACATTACATATTTAAACGCCAACTTTTTTTCACATACTTAAATACGAAATTTTAACTGTTCTAGCGGGAGCAGTTAAACTATAAGGGCAATGCAGGGCAGGCAAAAAATAAATAAAATGAAAACTTGCATTAAAACGTAAAAGCCTGGTGAGAAAGTTTTGCAGCATGGGAGAGCAAGTGATATAAAGTAAGACGGAGTTACACGACAGCCCATTAACAATACCAGCATGCAACTGAAAACGTGAGATTGAGATAAAATTCTTAAGTAGGGCCGAGTGGATTTTTTTTTTTAATTTAAAACTAGACCGACTTACAGAATTCTTTCTTTCAGATAAAGCTAAACCGCACAAATGTGTGAATGATGTACTATGATTAATACCTAAGAATATAGATATATACCAGATCCCACATGAAGTAAATATCCAAGATCCATCCATATAATTTACTGTTGAGTTTGAACAATGTTTTAATTAAAAGGAACAAAGAATTCAAATTCAAATATACAGAAAACCAATACACTACTATTCATTACATCATGACATTTTAATGTTCTGTGTTCTCCATATTCTTGATTGCTCTGCGCATGAAATGGTATATTATCTAAACTATCCAAAACAAACTGCCAGAAATACATTTCATAATCCCCAGAAGGACAAAACTATACTCAACCAAGAATATGTTGACTGCATTATCAAGAAAACTTTACTGATATGCACTCTCTACCAACGAACTTCAAAATTTAAATTATATTTAAAAATCTTGATAAAAAGTTAAAAATTTCTCCTAAAATGCTGATGGATATCTAAGATTCTGTATACAAAAAGCAATAAATTTTATTTTAGGCAAACAGGAACGTCCTGAACTAAGATTACAACATATAGCATGAGAACTGGGCAACAATCTGTTATGTTTCAACAAGAAAAAATTTTTAACCACCCTATCGATTTTTAAAAGGCCAAGAAAGTTGTATTAAGCAAATCCACTGTTGTGCAAAAATATAATAGAACTGAGCTTTATAATATAAATAGGCGAGATCCTCACACATTACCACTCCCAGGTCCTTCACATTACTTTTCCGCTCTATTTTGCGACTAGAGTTTGTAGTATACTCAGTTCTAGCTATTATTTCCTCCAGTTTTCCATATCAGAGTAGTTGGACTTTGTCTTCAGTGAACATCATATTGTTCTCCGTTGCCCATTGGAAAACTTTATTTATATCTTCTTGGAGATTTGCAGTGTTCTCAATGGATGACACACTCAGGCGGACATCAACCAAATCTTTAAACGAGCCGCAGAAAACAATATGAAGTTCAATGACGAGAAATTTTAATTACTCCGATATGGAAAAAGTGAAGAAATTAAAACTTCATCGGAGTATAAAACAAATTCCAACCACACAATAGATCGAAAAACTAATGTAAAAGACCTGGGAGTGGTCATGTCAGAAGATTTCACCTTTAAAGACCATAACATTGTATCAATCATATCTGCTAGAAAAATGACAGGATGGATAATGAAAACCTTCAAAACCAGGGATGCTAAGCCCATGATGACACTCTTCAGGTCACTTGTTCTATCTAGGCTGGAATATTGCTGCACACTAACAGCACATTTCAAAGCAGGTGAAATTGCTGACCTAGAAAATATACAGGGAACCTTCACGGCACTCAAAACTGATAAAACACCTCAATTACTGGGAACGCTTCAAGTTCCTCAACTTGCACTCCCTAGAACGCAAGCAAGAGAGATATATGATTATATACACTTGGAAAATCCTAGAGGGATTAGTACCAAACTTGCACACGGAAATCACTCCCTATGAAAGCAAAAAAGACTCGGCAGATGATGCAACATCCCCCCAATGAAAAGCAAGGGTGCCACTAGCACGATAAGAGAGAACACCATAAGTGTCAGGGACCCAAGACTTCTCAACTGCCTCCCAGCATACATGAAAGGGATTACCAACAGACCCCTGGCTGTCTGCAAGCAGGCACTGGACAGGCACTTAAGTCAATACCTGACCAGCCCGGCTGTGGTTCGTATGTTGGGTTGCATACGGCCAACAGTAACAGTCTGGTTGATCAGGCCCTGATTCACCATGAGGCCTGGTCATAGACTGGGCCGTGGGGGCGTTGACCCCCGATACACTCTACAGGTATACTCCAGGTAAGCTCAATATTTTCTACTTCCCTGGTTAGCGCTTCCTTCCGTGTTTCAGATAAACTGGCATTCTTGAGGAGCTCAGTGGTTCTTCGCCTTCCCCTGTAGAGGGAGCGTCTCTCTCTCTAGTTTACTTTTCTTTTTTCTTAGGGGAATATGCCTGGAACATACTTCAGCTACCAGAAAGTTGATCTTTTTGATGCACTGGTTAGGGTCCATGTAATTTAAGATATCTTCCCAACACGTTTCATTTAGGACTTAGTTTAGCTGATCCCAGTTAATGTTCTTGTTGTTGAAGTTGAATTTGGTAAAGGTACCCTCATAGCTGTATGCATTTTGCTGATCAGGACCCCTGTGCATGCAAGTCTGGACTTCGATTAGATTGTGATCAGAATTAGTTGTTTTTGATATTGTTATGCTTCTTACCAGGTCCTCATTATTTGTGAAAATAAGGTCTAGTGTGTTCTCCAGTCTTGTTGGCCCCACTATCTGCTGACTTTGGGTGTGTTTATTGCAGAAATTCAGTAGCTCATGTGTGTGTGACTTTTCATCTGAGCTGCCTCCAGGGATTATTTCTGCTACATTCTTCCATTTTGTATGTCTTAGATTGAAGTCATACTCAGGCATACTCTCACACTCCTGACACGAGTCTTAATCAGATTACCCGTTTAGTAGTTGAACATTCGCTGGCGTATGTGAACTAGGTTTTGTATCCTCTTTAAAACAACGAAGGATAATTACAGAGTAGTGTATCCTAAGATGATACCCAGACAGGAAGCCTAAACAATTTATACTGTATTCGCAAAAAAAAAAAAAGTGGAATAAGAAGAAAGCTGGATGCTTAATATAAGGGGTACGGGTGCACAGGATTAATGGAGATGTGTAAGGATAGTGTAATAGATCCGTTTTTCTTATACGTAGATGTGTGCATGAAAGGTGGAACTTAGGGAGAAATTGCAGCTACGGTAGTCGAGCTAAGTCCATTACACCAGCTCAAATGTTAATATAACAAAGCACACGGATCTTATAAATATATCACACTGGTTTCTGATATATAAATGCATGGCCCAAGAATTTAAATACAATACTCACGAGCATAGGTAAAAACACGTGCCTACCAGACCCAGGAACTGCATCTCGACCCCTACAAATTCAGCTAGGTAAATATAAAGGGATAATCTCTCTCTCTCTCTCTCACTAGATTCCTTCAGTCTCACCTTTGGCCTTTCTCAGCACCCCCCTCTCCCCCTTATTCTCACCTTTCACCTCACTTGATATAGAATCTTATGTCCTCCCCTCCCCCCCTCTGTCTTCCCTATTACCCCGCTCCCATCCACCCACACACGAAGGTCGATAGGGAAAGCAGACACACCAAGTGGTGTATGAGGGCTTAGAAGAAACAAGGACGACAATAAGAAGTTTTAAAACGACATAACATCAAAGGTCAAAAGTTAGCCACAAAAGAAAAAAAGACTGAAGGACCATGTGATATGGCAAAAGAAACGGACCCTGATGGAGAATGACAAAAGTATGAGAAGTGCTTTGCAAAAGATTATATGAGATCTTCACAGAGTGAAGAGCTACTGGAAAACACTGTTGTCAGAAGGGATCAGCAGATCCCAGAAAGTATCAACACAAAAGTGATGAGATTACCTAGTGATCGTGTAGAAAGAGCAACGAGACCTGACAACATATCTCCACGGATGCTAGGGAAAGGGGCAGAACCACCGTGGCCCAATAGCAAAAGTATTAAACCAAACACTCCAATCGGAACAACTGTCAGTAAATGAAAAAAAAAAGTGTGGCCATATATTTAAGGAGGACAAGAGGTATTAAATTACAGGCCAATATCTCTAACATGCATACTGTCAAAAGTTCTGAAGGATGGTTAGAAAAAGGATACTGGAGCCCTTGGAGAGTAGATTCGTTACTGAAAAGCAGCAAGGATTTAGGGATGGAAAACAGTCTTGTGGACGTGCTTAAGTTTTATGACAATCACAGAGGTAAAACAGGAAAGGAGTGGATGTGTTGCATCTTACACTGCAAAAAAAAAAAGCATCTGATACAGCACCACACTAAAAATTAGCCCAAAAATTAAAGGTACAGGCAGGATTAAAAGGAAGAGTGCTCCAATGCGTCAAGGGGGCTACCTGAAAGACATAAGGCAAAGAATAATAATAAAGGATGAGAAATCAGAAAGGGAGAGAGTAACACGTGGGGGTTCCACAATCGTCAACATTAGGACCACTATCTACCTACCTGGAGTCAACCTGAAGGGCATTCCAGAGGTCAACGCCCCTGCAGCCTAGTCCTTGATCAGGCCTCC